CAAATATGGAGATAGGAACAAAGTCACTCTCCAACTAAATGCAAAGACAAATTACCCATTCAACTATTTAAGTTCGACAAATAACTATAAGTTTAACTATTAACATCACATCACACCAAATTCCAATTACTTTCTAGCTTACCTGTCTTCTTTATCTATGCTAGTAGTAACAAAAAGTTGATGTTTTAAGATATCAATTGTTTAATTTAAAGTTATTTATCTAAATTAATTAAAGGTGTAATTTATCTCTATATTTAGTTGGTAGGTGACACTACTAGAATGCAAAGCATCATCGAGCAAATATCACTGATGTGAGAATCTTTGTCGATTAACAAATAATTTACTGACAAAGAACGTGTCGGTACAGTAAAAAACAATAACATTAAAATTAATTTATATTATTTTAATTTCAGAGGAGGATTTCGTCGGTAAATTCAGGAAATACCCACATGTTTTTTGTTGGTATTAGTCGAGACTATTCACTCCATCGTCTTTGGTGGCTTTTCCAGTGTAGTAGGCAAAGAGTTTACATATCGACGAAGCTCTCGTTGGTAACCATGAGATCCTATAACAACAATCTTGTCGGTAAGTTGCAAAGTTCTCTGCAATACCTACCCATGTAGCTTTTCAGTCCAATGAGCAGAAAATGCTTTTGCCGATGAATTCCTTGTCGATGAACTTTTTTTGTGCCACCTACATCTTTGTCAGTAACCTCCCCTTATTGTAGCAATCAGCCCTTAACAGGTGATGAAGCCTTTTCCTCAATTTGCCAAGAAGATTCTTGTTTGTAATAGTACTTTTGTAACCATGTCTTATCGGTGATGGGGCTAGTCAAGCTGAACTCTGATGCAACACAGGAGGTGACCAAATTTTTGCTTTTAACTTGCTAGCATGTGTTTAAATTGATAGCATTTAAGTTACCATCATGCTTTGAACTTCCAACAAGAATCTTCTTGGTACAAATTTTTGCCTTTAACTTCCCAGCATGCATTTGTCGATGAATGATGGTAGGAATCACAAAATTTTTGGTTTTTAGTTTCCAACAAGAATCTTGTCGGTGAACAAAAAGGCGGGATCACAAAATTTTTGGATTTTTTGATTGGCCAAAGCCCCTATTTGCACCCTACACTTAATTGTTTTCCACGGTCAACATCTTCCGGAATTTTTCCTCCCTATTCACACCCTTAACTTTTTAAAACCCGTAAAAAACCCAACATTTTAACGGACCGTCACGGCACCGTTAAAAAAGACACTACGTGGCATCCAAAAAATGACGTGGCACATGCGGCGTTTCCTTATTCGTTAAATTCAGACGTGGATTTATTTTTTGATGATTTGGCTTTCTTTTTTGCACAGGTGGACGCCACATGTGCAGTGGGCCCACTGCACAGGACTTTTTGCCTCCCCACCAAAAAAAATTGAACAGGAGCAGTGGGGCCCACTACACAGGACTTCTGCGTCCTTCCACCCAACCAAAAAAAAGAAAAAAAATTTTCAACAGAAGCTCTGGGTTCCTCGGTTCCATGAGGAACCCGACTCTGGGTTCCTTGCGACGAGGAACCCAGATCGGGTTCCTCCCTCTGGGTTCGTGAACCCATAGCAAAATTTTTTATTTTTTTTAATTTTTTATTTAAGTAAACCACGTCATCAAAAAAACATCCACGTTGAATTACTAACGGCATATATTGGCCACATCAATTTTTGAGTGCCACGTAGTACATTTTGTAACGGTACTGTGACGTCGCGTTAAAATGTTGGGTTTTTTACGGGTTTTGAAAAGTTAAGGGTGTGAATAGGGAGAAAAAATTCCGGAAGGTGTTGACCGTGGAAAACAATTAAGTGTAGGGTGCAAATAGGGGTTTTGGCCTTTTTGATTCTGTTGAAACTTTAATCTTACCAACATGTGTTACGTCAGTAACAATAATACCGACTAATTACACATGGGTAAAAGGCTCTATATATTCCTACAACCACACAACCCGCTCATTTTGTTTCCTTTTCTTCTTCTTCTTCTTCTTTCTTCTCCTCCCTAATTACATGTCTCTCCTCCTTCTTCTTCTATTAAAATACTGCTTAATTTTATCATGTTTATAATTACATTATATTTATATTAATCTTGGTTTATATCTTCTTAATCTCCTCTCTTTTTCTCCTTTGATGTTTCTCCCTAATTGATTAAACATGAATTTGAGTTATTGATCAATTTATTTACACTTCTAACTTTTTTTTAATATTGTTGTTTAGGAAACATTGTTGGGAGATAATCATTGGGTAAATAAATTTTATTTATGTAAACTATAATTT